ATATATATATATATATATATATATATATATATATATATATATATATATATATATATATATATATGTATATATAAGTTTTGTATTTGTGGACAAAATCTTACTAATAACCAAACTGTATAAAGTTCTCTAGCTGAAATAAGTTTTTAAAAAGTAAATCTGCCAACAGATAAACTTATAAATATTTTTTCACAACTTAACTGAAATCATTAATTTTTTAAAGAAATAAAATTAAAAGGTGAGGTTTTCCAAAGAGAATATGCAGTATATTCACTGATATTGATATTTTCTTACAACAGAATTAATGTTTTTTTTATGTTTAATAACCGGGTTTACCATAATAAAGCTCCATAATCTCTGACGTGATTGTAAGTAGTAATTGTGTGGGTTAAGAAGGAATAAAAGAAAGTATGGGCATATAGAAGAATATTGTGGTAGGTTTTTGTGCATCAACCAAATGGTTTCCATAAATGAATTATTATTATTATTTTATATATATAAGAGGAAAGCTTATTGTGTAAATTTTGGTGGAGGGAGTGAGAGAGAAGAATCCTGAAAGTTGAAGCGAAAGAAACGTGTAACCTGAATGAATAGTTTGGTATGTAAGTTAAATAATAATAATAATAACAATAATAATATTAATAATATAGGAATGGAGAAGGGGTAATTCCACTCAACCAAAAAAATGAACCGAACCTATGCAGCAACACTGACACACCAAACTACAAACCCCCCTTTGACTCCACTTTGTTTCCTCACACATGCCTCATTGGCCCCTCACTTTGAAACGCGTCGTTTGCAGCTTTACACCCAAAATCATTTTTTTATTTATTTATTTCTTGTTGTGTGAGTTCAAAGCAAACAAATTAAGCCATAAAACGCTCTCTCTTTTATTCCAAATCGCAAATCTGGAAAACAAAAACAAAAACAGAAAGCAGTCCTCTCTCTCTCTCTTTCTTTCTCTATTTCTAAATCTCTCCCTCTCTCTCTCTTTGCAAATTTAAAATCCAATTTCCATTTCCATTCACAGAAAGAAGGAAAGAAGGAAGGAAACACAGTGAAATCGGAATCGTTTTTTCTGTCTGAAATTCGCAGGCGCGCTCGTTTCTCTGTTGAACAGCTTCGAATCGCTTGCCGGCAGCTGCAGATCAATTCGAGTTTCACCTGAATGCTCCTTCTGGACTCGATTTAGGTTTGTCTTTGCTTTCTCAAATCTGAATTCCACGCTTATCACGCATTAATATTGTGTCGGTGACGACTTAATTTCTTTGTCGTGTTTCATTCAGTGCAAGATCTCAGTTCTGCGTAATCATATTTCGCTTGATTTCGTAGGTCTTGATTTGTTATCGTAGGGATCTCTGTTTTCTTTTGGATTTCGCATTTAATTTCGTTTTAGTTTACGTTGTCTTAGGCTGTTTTGGAAGAGCAAGATCTGTTGTGTTGTTTGGGAGAGTGTATGGATGAGCTTATGATGAATAGTTTTTGTTGATTCCGTTGCAGATCGAGTTCTTCATACCCTGGTAGTGTGGGAAATTTATATGAAGAACGGGATGATAGAATGCAGTGTTTGCCATTCCAAATTGGTTTCCCCTTCCTCCAAAACTATCTCAAGGGCTTATGATCGCCACAAAAATAGGATAACATCCAAGCAACGTGTACTCAATGTCTTTTTGGTTGTTGGTGATTGTGTTCTTGTAGGCTTCCAGGTGATTTACCTTCTCTTATTGAATATTCCTCTCAAATGTTAAATTAATGAAATGGAAATATAATTGAATAGCTATGAAGCTCATACTTCTTAAGACACTAAACATGACACAGACATTATGAGTTATGACATGGCTAGTGTGAAAAATACATCACATCCCGCACATTTGTGATGTTTTGGATCCTCTTTGGAGTCGGAAACTGGTGTTTCTGGCCATGTGCTGTGAGTGAATATACTCTGCTTTTCTGTGTGGATTGGCAATATCTCTGGCATTCACATGTTTAGTGATTTGGAGTACTAATTGGATTTGATATCTAGAATTATATATCCTTTGTTTGCTTTGGATGGGAAAAACAAATTCTCTTGCATTCACATGTTTAATGATCTGAAAGCTAATTTGGTTGGATATTCTGGAACTATATACTTTTTGTACATTTGACATGGATGGTTTAACTTATTCAAAGAACTATCTTGCATGCCAATCTATATAAGTGTCATTTCTTGCGTTATGTCTAGTTGGCAAAGGAAATAAGGAATTTAAGCAGCAGGATTCCAAGGCTTTAGGAGAGAGGCTGAAAGAAGTTGGCTCAAACTTTGGCATTGTGAATAGTAACTTAGGGATGCTATGATGGCTGTGATGAAGCATATTTGGCATTGTGAATAGTAACTTATGGATGCTATGATGGCTGTGATGAAGCATATTACAAACCCTAAAAAAATTGCTTCGTATGCATAGTTCATTTCATTGACTTGCAGATCTATTTTTCGATATTTGCTAATCTAATGGTCTGATGTACAATGAAGAGTTCCCTGCTGTTAATTTGATAACTCTTGTGAGTTTTATGCTTGTTGTTTAGCGACTGACAAATGTTATTTCTTTTTAATTGGCAGCCTATCCTTGTCTATATGTCCAAGGTGGATGGGAAGTTCAATTTTAGCCCTATTAGTGTTAATTTTTTGACCGAGATTACAAAGGTTTTCTTTGCTATTGTTATGCTTATTCTCCAGGTTAAGATCATTTTCCCTTTGTCTATACTCATATTTTCTGTCTTTTCAATTACTTATAATTAAAGCATGTGTCAAGTGAGAAGTAAATTATCGAAGTGACACTAGCACATACATTGAGGTAAATCATTAGTAAATTGAGGTTTCACTAAGAGTTACTGTTTTTTTCTATTGTGGCAGGACATACCGTAATTTTCTTTAGTATTAGATCATAGAATATTAGAATTTATAAACTCAAAACAAGAGTGGAAATAATAACTTCTTGGTTTTCAATGATAGTATTCCTAGTTACTTTGGTGTACGCACCATTCAACAACAAAAGATAATCCCTTTGAGGGCTGTAGATCCCCAAAGTGAGTTTTGCCTCTCCCAACAAAGGTTTTTCGTACATAGTTATGAATTGAACCTGGTCAACATAATCAAGCGATCTGGTTATCTGCCAACTATGTCCTACTTTGTAAAGGTATAAATGATTTTCAGGCAATGAAGTGGGGACCAAGGTGCCAACTGGTAATTTTTGGGATCAGGATCAAGGCTTGATGATATGGCATATATTTGAACAAAATCAACTCAGTTTTTGGAAAAATATTTTCAGTGTCTTTTGTGGAAGAAAACCAGTATGGGCAGGTTGATAAGTGAAAGGAAACATATTATTAGTTGTAAAAGAAGATAGGCCAGTGCTTCTGAGTCTTCTTGAAACTCATAATTGTTTTACATTCATGTAAAGTGGTAAATGGTTTGTTCATTGTGCAGGCTAGGCATCAAAAAGTTGGGGAGAAACCTCTTCTCTCAATTTCTACATTCATGCAGGTACAATGATTTAGAATTTAAATTTTGTATCAATTAACAGATTTTTGAGACCCATATACTTTTTTATATAGATAATTTCTTAAGCTTTTTGTCAATTGCTAGCTGTAGGGTTCTCTGCTTCCTGGGATTGAACTGGATTACTCAGGTCACATAGTATAAGCATATTTTGTATAAGATCAACAAATACTCACCAACTACTTTACTACCTTAGAGAGTGCATTTGTAGCGCTGTGTTTATTCTTGGGTCTCAATACAGTAAATATGGAATGTGTGATAGCATCTTGTTTTTAAGTTTCTTAGTAATTATTCTTTATATATCACCAAATTTAAACATCTTCCAAATTCAATATGTAGTTTTTTCCAATAGATTTTGATATTTATTTTGTATCTGGTATTCTGTCACTTGTAGGCAGCTCGTAGCAATGCCCTTCTGGCAGTTCCTGCACTTCTGTATGCTATAAACAACTATCTGAAGTTTATCATGCAGGTATGTAGAATTAGTCCATAAACTATGCATATGCAAGGATTGAAGCTAAAATGTTTGTCACTAGAGATCTTTCTTTTGCTGCTGAAATGTTTTAGTTCAAGAATCAGTAACTTTATTTCTAATTCATGGGCTTTTGCCCGAAGGGGATGTTGGTAGTACATATTGTTAATTTGCTTCTCCAAATGAGAAAGACAAATACCGGAAGTTATTATAAAAGCACGATGGATTGCTCATTGCTTGTTTTGATACCGGGATTACTGATTTTTCAGAATATTGATTTGTTAGTTATCACTTATATATGTTTGATATTCAGTGAGATTAGAATCATATTCGTTATTTTAAAAGTAAGCCATTAATTTAAACTGAATCATGTAATGAAAATTCATGACTTGTTATTGTTCAGTCACATACTAAGGAATTATCCAACCTAAGGTAACTTACAAATTGATTTCACATTTCATGCAGCTTTATTTTAACCCTGCTACTGTGAAGATGTTAAGTAATTTGAAGGTAATTTCTATTTCACTATTCTGAATGATTGAATTTCAGTATTATTTACAGCTAAGTAATAAGTTGCCTATGCATTGCATGTGGTATAGCCCTTGTGATGGCTGCTTGAAACCTCTTAAGTAAATGATTACTTATGCTCAGCTGTTTGAGCCTTGACTGATTTCTTTTTCCTTTGGTTATTTTTCTGACAATTATTCCTTGAAACAATTGGACATATTATTCTCTTACTACTTTGGTTAATTTGAATTAGTTTGTAAAGTAGTCTCTTGACTTTGCATGTTTCAGGTTTTAGTAATAGCACTTTTGCTAAAGGTGATTATGAAGCGTCAGTTTTCCGTCATTCAGGTTAGTGTGTTAGACTCTCTTGTCATTGTTTGGTCTTTACTGTTGAACCTTGGCGAGTTGTGATCCTTATATAAGTCCCAATTTCTTATTCTCCTTACATTTTTGCTGAAAGATTGATTTATTGGTTTTACTACAGTGGGAAGCTCTTGCTCTCTTGCTCATTGGTATAAGCGTTAATCAGCTAAGATCTTTACCTGAAGGAACTACAGCTTTGGGTCTTCCTGTCACAATGGGTGCATATCTCTATACATTGATCTTTGTAAGTGATTTGTTATTTATTTGTTTGATATATTATTACTGTGCTTTTGTTTATAAAAACAAAATTGGTTATATGCTATAATTCGTTGAATTTCTTAACCTGGGAATTATTTTGCAGGTCACTGTTCCATCCTTGGCCTCTGTTTATAATGAGTACGCATTGAAGAGCCAATATGATACAAGCATTTATCTGCAGGTGAAGCGCTAGGAATTGCAATTTTTTCCATTATTGGACTGCGTCTTAATTAAGTCCTAAAAATAAGTTCAAAATTGTGCTTCGTCAAGGAATGGGAAATATGATTTCCTCCTAAAGCTGTACCGCCTACAGTGTTACTTAGCTTTAGTTCAGCCTTTTCGTGTTTTGACTGGCCACTGAGGCCCGAGGCTTTGCTTATAAGGTTGGGGATTGGATGGGGTTTTAAGTAGATCTCTTTGAAAATTGACATAAAATGTTAGCGGAAATTTAAGAGAAAGAAATTAACAATGATGCTCAGTGACTAACTCCAAAAATCATTTTGACATCCTGGAGGACAATGGAATAAATGTGTAGTTTCAAGAACAGCAGTTTAATGGTGCAGTCTGCTAGGATTCTCTAACTATATGTTAGGGATGGAGAGTTTACGAGTGAAGGAATAAAACATTAAATGCCCAACTGCCTTAACTGCCTTAGCAGTTAGGAGGAGAGCGGGGTTATTGGTTGTATAAATAGCAAATAATCAATTGTAGTGGGGGGTGGATTGTTTGATTGTAGTCTAACAGGGTTTGTCATCCTGAGGAGGGAGGTTAGGCTCTCTAGAGGGAGGTTATGCTCCCAAACCCAGTCCTTGTAAAGAGATTCGTTTACGGTGAATAATAGCAAAACTCATTCTTTCATTTCTGTTTCTATCTTTTGAGTGTTTTCTTGTTAGGTTCCAAACCCAGGAACCTAACACTATATCTTTTTATCACTCATTAATTCTCTGTTTCTTGATTTACAGAATCTATTCTTATATGGATATGGAGCTATATTCAATTTTCTTGGGATACTCGGGACTGCTATTTTCAAAGGTGATAATTAAATCTCTAGTTTTTGGGTACTCGTGTGCACTTTAAATATGACACTAAGCTGTTAAGAGAAAAAGAAAGACGAGACTCAAAGTAGACCTCATGCGTTTCATTTTGTGAAATAAAGCAAAAGATTTGATTAATTTTCCCTAAAATCTGAAGTATTAATTTCAAGGTTAATCTCTTGGGTTTCATTCCATGCATTAAAACTAGATGACAGTTACATTTCGTTCCACAAATTAAAAAGAACCAGTGAATTAAATTACTACTATTGTCTACTGTGGAGAAGCTGTTGTACCCAAGTCCTTGTCTGCTAAATGTTTTTACAGTTTCACAAGTCAGCATAGAATTATTTCTGTACTACGATACATTAACAAGTTACCAGACAGCAACATTATGGTTACACCAAGACACCCTTTGGCGTTTCAGACTGCAACAAAGAAAATAACATCAGGAATTTGATGCTGCTAATATCAACGAATTCATCTTATGATGCACTAAGCTTAGAAGTACTTGGTTTAATTAATCTCATAATCATCTTTCTAATTCAAAACGGATCATTACAAAAGAGCATGTGAGGGAGTTGGCAAGTGATGAGCAGTTATGTGCTTCGGGATATTTGTTTGTTTTTGTCATAAATCATAGTGTTTTTCATGATGAATGTGGCAGCAAATAGTCATTTTATATGCCACATTGAGCTTCCTTGTAAGCTGATTCCATTATCTAGTACAATCGGTGATGGTTTAATTCTGTTTGTTTATTCAATCTCTATTGATAGAAGAACCTGTTTATGCCTTTTATGCTTATAGTTTTACTTTTTCTGAGGCTCAAACTAACCTATTTAAAAATTTCCAGGGCCTAGTAGCTTTGATATACTACAAGGTCATTCAAAAGCCACGATGCTATTGATCGCAAACAACGCTGCTCAAGGGATTTTATCCTCTTTCTTCTTCAAATATGCAGGTCAGTATTCAAATATACATTTTTGTTCTTTATGCTGCATTTATTAGAATCTAAAACAAAATGCTGGTATAATATAATTTATCTTAAATTATGTTTTTTGCAGACTGACATGCTATTTATCCGTTCTCTCAATAACAAATTTAATGTGTTGTAGATACAATTTTGAAGAAGTACTCATCAACGGTAGCCACAATCTTTACTGGTATAGCATCTGCTGTACTATTTGGACATACTTTAACGATGAACTTCGTTATCGGCATTTCTATTGTATTCATCTCAATGCACCAGGTATGTTGAATTTGGACGATTCGATTTTGTATCTGACAATTTAAAAATGTTCCTTTTGTATCACACTGTTTACGCTTTCTTTTCAGTTCTTTTCACCAATTGCAAAAGCTAAAGATGAACAGAATGGTGTGCTGGAACTGCATGATGTTCATGACAGACAAAGGTACTGCTATTTCTTCACCGATCTCAAGATTTTCCTTTTTTTAGCTTAGTCACTGATATGTTTATTTTGGGTTCAGAGAATTCTACAATTCAAATGCTTTCATTTTTTTCCTGGTCATTGTGTATTTAATTGGTTGACCCAATACCTTTTGTTCATTCCAGATCAAAGGATTCCTTTATAAATATGGCAGCTGGAGCAAATGAGGAGGTGTGGATCTGTTATCTCATTGTTTTATAACTGAGTTATTTTATGCTTTCTATTGTGATTGACCAGGGTTTTGTTGTTAATATGTATATTTATAGGCTTCTCATCGCGTGGGACATGATGAGAGACAGCCACTTCTTCCCTCCTAGATTGATCTACTGTATGTTCTCTGTCCTTTTCCAGCCCAATCTATACCTGTGTTAGTACTAATAAATATCTTAATTTTTTCGTCAATTCAACTATCCCATTTTCTACAGGTTTATGACCATTTTTCTTAAGCTATGAACAATCCAATCATTTTCGGTATATATTATTGCAGGAGTTTTCATAAAAAACAATTGGTTATATTGCTGGTATCATTTGACCACGTCACACATTTTAAAGTCAAAATAAAGTAAAAGAAAATTATTTCTGCCTTTCTGGGATAGCTTTCCTCTGATGGGATTCTCTCTACTTGGTTCATGAAGAAAGGCATGGAATCTTGACTTCAGGAACTGGTCAACAAGCCATGACTTTCAGCTGCTGAAGATTTTGATAGAGCATAGAGAATGGCTACGCAAGAGCTTTAGGCATATCAATGTGGATTCACGTGTACTACATTTTTTTTCTTGGACATTATATTTCTCTTTCTCAATTTGCTTTGATGGTATATTTACCTTATCCTGGCCTAGAAGAATTATTGTGTTATTATTTACATTTATTACATGATTTTGGCATTTCATCTTTATGAAATTACAGTTAAATAAAGTGAGTTCCTTTGTAGAAAGTGGTGTTGCGGTGCATATAAAAAGCAATGGGAAATATCATGTTTACAGACGGTGTTTTATCTCGGCTGTTTCAAATACTCTCGGTCTTAACCAAATTTTATATAATTTTCGCCTAGATATTATGCATATAATGTGATAAAACGGAATAATTCCTGCACAGATAAATTTGAAACGTCTTCTGTTTAAATATAGCGACAAAATATATTTAATGAAATATTTAGTGGGTACCATTATAGAATGAAGAAGAATGATTGTAGAAGTATTTTAGTAGCAGTCACAAGTGAGTCTTAGGGTAAGTTAATAAGAAACGTGTAACGTAAGATTATTCAAATAGAAATTGAATGAACTTCACAGTTTCATTTCATTCACAGCCATATTTCCCATGTCCTTTGGAGTGTGGTTTTTTATAGCTATTTCGTAAAACCATTCACCGTGTTTCTCTTTTAGTATTAGGCTGAGGATTTGACAGGTACGGAATCGTGGCGTGTATGAAATTGTTAATTGAATGTAATATTACAATCAAAAGCCTTAAAACTTTTTAAAAAAGGTCATGCTTAAGTGTAACTGAATGTAATATTAAGAAAAACATTGTACAATGGACAGAATAGAATATGATAACAGTGATTAAATCAGTGTGAATTCGGTAATTCCTTCTACATACCCGACGGTACAAAACTTATTATTTTTTAAACCTATTTGTATTCTTAATATTTTTTTTTCTAGAAATAATTAAAACACCATTTGTAAGCTTTTCTAGTAAACCTTTTTTCAAAAAGAAAGATGAAATTGTATCCTAAAAGACTATTAATTTGAAATCTAAATTTTGTAAAATCCTTATTTTTGTCTTATTTTTTATTTTAAAGAGTAATGATATCTTGAAACCCCACTAAAACGATACAAGCACTTGAAATCCATGACTTCATCTTTGCTTTTGCTCCTTTTTTTTTTCCTTTTCAATTACAGAAGTTTAACTTTGTAATGACCCCCTAAAATAAAATTGTTAAGATATTGTTTGGATGTTAAAATGTCATTACTCCTATTTTAAGAGTTTGTACTGGGTGTATTTTTTTTTAGAGGTGTACGATTTTTCACATGTTAAATAAGAAAACATAATCAGGAAAAAGAAATTCATATTTTTTAGAAAAATAAAGGAAAGACAAATAATAGTTATTTAAAGCAAGGTAGCATAACATTACATTTCTATTTCCTAGTTCTCAATTTCTTATTCCCTATTCCCCTTTTCCCTACCCTTTTTTGTGTTGTGGTGAAGCGGCTGCGGCAGTTGGGAGAAGAATGAATCGAATCACAGTTCCAATGGATGAGCCTAAGCCTTCTTGCCACTCCACACTTTCTACTGCTTCTCACCTTACTCGCTCTGAACTTCTGAAACGCCGTTTCCAGAATCTGAAGCGTCTCTCCAAGTGTTACAGGGACCTCTACTGGCACCTCATGGAACACGTCAAGATTCTCTACAGAAACTACCTTTATCACTATGCTCTTAACCCTTTTAGCCACTTCCACTTTCCCACCTGTGCTTTCCTCGGTTGCAACCTCAAGCCCATGCCTTTCACTTCCTTTTGCCACTTTCACATTCTCTCCGATTCCAACCAGAAGCTTTATAAGCCCTGCAATTATGTTATCAAAGGGTCTCTCTCTCTTTCTCCGTCTCCCCTTTTCACTCTTGTTATAATGCATAATTCAAACACTGCAATTATGTTTTTCAGTTTTAGTATCTAGTCTTCCTTTGAAACCAAATATGACGGAAAGGTAATTTCTTTTTTTTAACAATTTGATTATATAGTATAGACTGGTGTTTGAATTCAACAGTTTATGTCAAACTAATCATGTCCATTTGTATATGATGGTTTTGCTTGCTCTAAAATTCATGTCTGTGATGGAAGTGTTTGAGGAGGGACATGACACAAAAGACAGTTTTTCTTTTTTGTTGATGTTGAATGTTCTAGTACTGAGATGGATTCAGCGGACCCTGCAGTGTCATATGATCATAAAATGGTCACACTTTTGGTCTTTTTTGTTTGTTTTTTTTGCAGCTATGCTTGCAATGGTATGCTTGCAAGATGACTAATCACCTCGGTTGCTTTTTCTTTAGGTCACGATGTTTGGTTAAAATAGAAATAATTTCGTTAGTTTAATCAATAATCTATTGAACAGAGTTCTATTCATAATATTTCTCTTTCTGTGTAGAATCTTTAATCATTCATATAATATATGATATGTCTGTTCTGTTCCTCTATTATAACTAAATATTATATTTGCTTGCTACTGATTTCAGTGCAGAAGCTGGACCTATAACTTGTGGGAAACCCATACTGAGATCCATTGTTCCAGCTCTTTGCACTGTGCACTCTCACAAGGCTCAGAAGCACCTTGCAAGGGCTTTGAAGAGGAACAGTAGGAACATTTCCTCCACAACTAACATCCCTCCTAAATTTCATGCCTTGGTGTCAGAATTTGTAAAACACATTCAGGCGAGAAGAAAGAAACAACAGGAAAACAAAAGTAAAACTGTGTTCAAAGACAGAATGATAGCTGCTTGAATGTATGAAAGTGGATGATGCATATCGTGCTCATCCTCCTAAACTTCTAAAGTGAAGTCGTATTGGATTTTAGAACTTCTTCATAAAATTTAAAATAATGAAGTCCTGTTATGTAATAGTGATTTTTTTTGTTTTTGTAAAATATGTGAATTGAAGTAGCTATTACTTTCCATTTGATTGAGGGAAAGCAGAGTAGTTAAGTTTTATAGCAACTTTCAATCGAAATAATGTCCTCTTTCATGTTAATGATTTTATATGTACATATTTCTTTAATTAAACATGTTTAAGAATTCTTATTTAGAAATATAATTTTTTGGAAATATAATTTTGTGATTAGTAACAATATTAATAATAATGTGTAAAAGTTGATAATATAAAAATAGGAAGGATGAATATTAAAATAGTAACAATATTAAATAAAAAATATTTTCATTAAAAGCATGAATATTAAATTTAATATTATTTTAAACTTGAAATACATCTATTTATGGCCTCTAAATACTCGCTCACTAGATTATCTTTGTGGTTGTGGTTGTTGTTATGGTTTGTTGTTATCATTGTCGAGTTTGAGAAAACTGATAAAGGTAAATAACTATCTCTGAAATTGAAAGGTAAATCTAAGAAGAGATATTTCAATTAATCTTTATGACTTGCACAAGTTTCTTTTCAAACTCTAAAGTGGTTAGTAATATATTAATAACAACTTTAAATCACAGACTTCTCAAGAAAGTCATTACCATACAATACTGCCTTACTTTTTCTAAATTTTACTCTAAAGTCACTCTAATACCATTCGACTGCAGGGATAAGCACGACTTGGTTCTGACTAATAATTTTCCAATCAACTGCCCCTTTAGATGATTAAGGGCCACCTATTCACCTTAAAAAATGAAAAACCCTAATATGATATAAAAAGGTCTATGCTGACAAAGTTAATTGAGACAACATGTTATCTAATCATGTTTGTCCTACATAAAATGCACGCTCTTTTATGAAAATCATTACAACAGTAGGATAAACATAACGTATTGGTTGAATAAGAAAAACATTTGAAATCATGTTTTCAACCACACATAAAATCGCCTTAATACGTTAACACATATCCTTAGTAATGCTCTAGATTCAAGTATTATTATTATATTATTATATATTATTCTCTTGAGTTCTACAAGCCAAAGACAGGTGTTGGTCTTGTGAGACTATCTTTCTGATCTGAATTGGCATCTACTGCTGGATACTCCATCTATCACACTCTTCATCATTTCCTCCAACTCACTATGCATCACGTGACAGCCCAGACATTCTAATTTCCTCAGACATTTATGTACAAAACCTCATAACATCTAATCAGTTCGTTGTCTGAAAAAGCTCAAATGAACATCGTCTCGTGACGAATTCTTGTCGTTTCTCATAGACTCTTGTCACTGCTCATGATAGGCAGAAACATTTTTTTTTAATAACTCTATAGATTTGTAAGATTGAACTGTAGTGTCATTACCATCATCTTCTATTAGTTTTGAGTTCTCCAAACAGAGGGAAAATCTGGGAGCAAGCGATGCCAATGGCTTGACTTCACCTGGTTTTTCCTCCCTCCACACGAGCTCAATTCATTCATCTAAACGACAACATACACTGATTTTAGATACGCATGTGCAAGGGTTAGGGTTAATTAATTAATTAGCGAACATCGAAAAGACTTTAGTGCAGTTAGGTTAGTTACCTAGGGCGATGCAAGAAGTAGACGTCGAAACTCTAACCAAATCCAACCACTGCACATCATACAGTATGTAGGGTTGGTTTGAATCGAAACCTCAAATGAACAGGAACATCAGAAGTAGATCCGAAACATAGAACATAAAATTTTATTGAGATATGATCTTAATTAACAAGTGACAAGATGATGCCTGTGCCCCTAAGGCTGTGAATATTGTGAAGTGAGGGTTAATTAGAGTTACTCTGAGAGCCCTTCATCTCCACCCATCATCGATCGCATCTCCGTCTCCAGGTAAATCAAGGAATCAATGAAGGAATCGCTCAAAGAATGCTCAGCTGCACAGCTTCACAGTGCAGGCAACAGCCTGCGCCCAGAACTTCAGCCTCGCCTTCACATCTTCCGGATGGTCACCGGGACTCGATATTTTCCAATTCGCGATCGAAGTCGACAGCGAATGAGCCGACGGCACCGGCGAGTTCGACGGGGAAGGTGAAGGCAGAGAGTTGTCCATGAATTTCTGAGACATCGAATAGCACAATTCCAGTGCCGGCAGAGTGTTGCACAACTCCGGAATCTCGTCGTAGCTGAACCCAAATCCCAGATCCAAACACCCCTTCAACTCCTCCAGATCCTCGTCCGACAGACTCTTGCTCCTTGCCAGATCCTCCTCCACGTACCCTTCCAACAGCACCTGCTTCTTCTTCTTCCCCTTCTTCTCCACCCTTCTCTCTCTCTCTCTTTCTCCTTCTCCTTCTCTTTCCATCTTCACTCTCTTCTCTTCTCTTCTCTCTCTCCTTCCACTCCCCTATTTATCTATTCCCAAATTCCTCTCTCTCTCCTCTTCCATCTTCCCTATGTATGCCCCATCCCATCATCTCATGCCCATACCATCATCATTATCATATTCCAACTCATCTTTCTTATTTTTCTAATTTCTAATAATTTTGTTTTCTTTTTATACTAATGCAATGCAAAACCCCATATTCCAGAACCTTCTGTGTTTTCTTGGAGATTATTCAACGTATTATGCTGCGAGATTTGTACGTCTCTGTGACATTTTATTTATTTAAAAGATACTGCTAAATCTTAAATCAATCCCATAATCCATATCACCAATAAGCTATTTTAGCATATAATATATTTATACAGAAAATGAATAAAAAATGGAGTTGAAAGTGAAAGAAAGAGAAGTTGGTGGGTCCACTGGTTTTGTCTGCATCAATTCCATTCAAGGAATTCGCATGTGAGGGATTATACAATCGATACAAACCAGGGCAAATCATTGAAACAGACAAATCAAACACAACTTTTTTAAAAGTCTACATGAGCACAGGGTTCTGTTCATCTACTCCATCTTGTTTAGTTTTTCAGATGGAATATTTACCAACCCATATATAAATTCAGAACTAACATAACATCTTTGTTTTTAGCAGGATAAAAAAAAATGTTTCTTTTCTTTCTTGGACTTCACATTTCTCATAACCAACTGTCAAAATGATTGCAATCGTCCACAGTGACATGCATTAAAACAATCTCAAAGTCAATAATCCCAAGATAAAACCACCAAACGAAACAGTTTCTGTTCATGTCTTTTCTTCTTTTCACACCGGGAATCTGTATAATTTAGAAAAAGATAAGCATATTCAGTTGTTCAGTTTAATCAGAAAAAAAAAGAGTGGTTAGGAAACTGACTCCAGTGTTGGTGTGTATTGTGTACGCTTCCAGAACCGAACTTTTGTAGAATATGTGGTATGCATTATACATTACAGAGCAACACAGCCTAGACAAGGAGGATGAAATCCTCTTGAATCTGTCTGTTTGGGGATGAACATGTGGGTCTGTGTAAAATTCAGTAAGTGAAGACAACTTGTAAGTTTGTACATGCATCAGAATTAAATGAAAACCAGCTAGACAATGAACTATAATGTCTGTTCTTTTTTGTTGAAGAAACACCAAAAATTCTGAGTCTCCATGGTTCCCCAGCCTGAATCAGATACCATAAAATCTGGCGTCAAATTAATGCTGTTGTAGTGTGTTTGTGAGATAATTTTTCAATCATACTGAAATATAACAATCTTAAATTTCAAAGGAACCTCTTGCTTTCAATCAAGAAACTTTTGTATGACTGACTGACTGAGGTGTAATCCATCCATCTGAATTTTTTATTTCAGTTAGAGACAAAAACATGTTCATCTTTAAATTTGTACACACTTCAAGCAATGAAGAGTTAATGATCATTAAGGCCGCTGTTGCAGTTACATTCCTTAATTTGAATTTTTGAATGATAATGTTAAAAACAATAAGAGTATTTAGAAGTAATAAATACTAATGAAGATGTTTCAAGTCGATGATGATGGCTGATGTATATATATGTATGTATGAGATGAATGTGATGACATTTGGTATGGCATGAGATGGGATAAGTGTATTATTGGTGGCAATGAGTGGGACAAGAACAGGCCAACAACCAACGTGGCCAGTCCCAATCACTCAATAACACATCCAAAAGCCGATTCACCCTTTTATTCAACTATCTTTATTACAACATAATTCAATGTAGAATAATTGATTCACATAAGTATTTTAATTAGACAATAATTTTAAAATAATTGTATGAAAATGAATTCGACTTAAATTAAAAAAAAAATCTTTATAAATTCCAATAAGTTGATTGCTTGATTCGGTAACCGTAAAGTGAAAACGTATGTGAAAAGCAGAATAGGACCTAACTTGCTTCTGGCCCTATCAGTTGTTCATATTGTCTTCTCTCTTCTCTTTTATTCTCTCTATTATTACAAATTATAATTTTTTTATGCATATGAAAATTTGAATTTTGTAGAAGAAACAGAGAAAAAAGAGTCATTTCAGGCTGGTGAGGTGACCTTTTTCTATCACCATGGAAAAGAGCGTTTAAAATATTAATTTGTCATATTTAATGTTGACTGGCTTATATTTTTTATACAAGTAAGACTATTTTGTGAAAAAAATATTACAACATAAGAGAAATTTCAACTTTTAAAAATGTTCCTACGAGAAGGAGTTAATAATTTATTTTTTCTAAAATAAGTTATTGAAATATTTAGAATAAGTAATAAAAAACATCATGAATTAGATTAACAATTCCACGTCAGTTTGACCATGTGAAAACCATTCACACCACAAGAAGATGATGACGAACACGTGGTTGAATCGTAACCGCGTGAAGAGGACAACGTGTTCCAAGTGTTTTTATTAAAAATATCCACTTTAATCGATGACGTCATCCGTGACCCGTCTCAAATTGATGAATATGATAATGTGACCCTACAGTCATATTCGTATTTTACAGTGGACAAGCACGAACAAACGAGACACCGTCTTAGATATATATATATTACATCATACGACAACGGTTTTAACACAAAAGAACCTTATTTTCTTCATGTTGGCTTATAAAAAAAGAATGCATTACAACATAACATTTCTCACGTAATGTCCAAGTAATATACAATGTGTAAAAAATAATGTATACCTATACTGAATGACTGCAGAACAAGATATACAGACATGCACAGGCGTGGATGGTTTGCATTCCTAGGAATGATTTGCATTCTGAAGAAGGTTTTGAGCATATTCAGGGTTGTTGCCCCAAGCTCTCTGCTTCCATAACAGCTCCACTTCATCAAACGTCAACCCCTTGGTTTCAGGAACATAGACAAGCACAAACACAAAGGCAAACACAGCAATAATAGCAATAATTAAGAAAGTGGGACCGGTGCCTACAGCTGCAGCAACCGACAGAAATGACTGTGCCACAATGAGATTTGAGACCCAATTCACAGTGGCAGACATGCCTCCACATGTCCCTCGGTATTCTTCAGGGTACACTTCTGAGTTAACTGTCCAAGGCACAGTTCCCATCCCTGGGGAGAAGAAACCAATGTATAGAGCCAAACCTATAACTGCAAGCCACCCATACAAACCACTTCCAGATGATTGGTTGATGAATGACAAGGCCAAGATGATCAGAGATGCTATTACCCCTCCCAAGCTAAACAGGGCCAATTTTCTCCGCCCTGCATGGTCTATAAGGTAAATGCCAAGAACTGTTCCGGCCGCATTCATGGCAGCAACTATGAGAGAGAGGAGAAGAGCCAACTCGTTAGAGTGAAAGCCGGCCATTTGGACAATTGTTGGGCTGTAGTACATCACTGTGTTGATGCCTGTGAATTGCTGAAATGCCTGTACAGCCATGGATGGTATAAGAACACACTTCATTTTGCATGCTCAAAGTAAGAACATAGTCCCTCATTATGTTTACAATCGAGTATCGCCTCATCATGACTGATACTTTGTATTGAATGACTGCCAACAAGCAAAGGATAATGAAATGAAAACACAAAGATGACAGACATGCGATTTTTCTCTCACACGGAACAGGCAGACATCACACAGTTCATCCTAACAATATAAAATAGTGAAAAGCATATTCATTTATTCTTTCATTTTGCTTTTTTCTATTTTGGGAAAGATATTACTCAAGAAGAGAGAGTTCGAGTTATGAATGCATACTTATAAAAAATTCGAGCAAAAATCAACTTGAAAAAAGAAAGGACCATACAAGACTAAGGATACTGACTAATGTAGTCACAACACAAGTCTCTTATGCCCATCAACCTTTTAATGGCAAGGAACGTTATGAGAAAAGTTATGTTTTGCTACCACATTGCCTCCAAATATGAAGTTTTTCTTACCTGCAATCCGGCTCCAGCAAGTAATGCTAGTCTAATTTCTTTTGATTTGAAAACATCCCGATATCTGATATTATCACCTCTTTGGTGGTCTCTCTCCGATTGAGTAGTAAGTAAATTAACTTCATCCTCTAAACGAGCAAAGTCATAGATCTTAGATAGCACGGTAATGGCTTCCTCTTTCCTATTCTGCACACACATGAAAGAAAAGATTTATATAAAAGAAATAGCTTTCAAACCTAAACATAAAACAATTATACAACCTTTATAAAGAGCCATCTGGGGGACTCAGGCAGTAAGAGCATGAGGAACAACTGAATTACTGCCGGCACACCTGAAACCCCCAACATCCACCGCCACGTTCCTGGGACCTGTTTGATTAAGAATATGGGTAGTCATTGAAATAATACCCTCAACTCAGAATCAGGAATATGTTATTTTGAGTTAAAACATTTTCCCTGTAGTGTACTATGTTTTTCCTATTTTCTTTTTCTGTATATCGAGGAGGATAGAGATGTTCGCAATTTCACATGGATTCTATTAGAAATATACGTTGTAAACAAGAAGAAACACCAACTACATTGGAAAAAAGTGAAAGAGGAGTGATGGAGTTCAAATCGCTGGTGGAAAAATCTCACATGGAAGAAACTGAACTTTACCCTTTATGGTGCATGGACTTGTAAAATTGGATACAAAACAACGCTAGATAGTTGGCATTATTGCTATTTAATGAGAAGTGAATAAAAACTAAGCATGGAAAATGAACCTGTGTAAAAGCAAGATTTATGAGATAGGAAAGAAACTGTCCACCAGTTATCATGAGCACATTTGTGCTTACTAATGCTCCCCTTATTTCTGAAGGTGACAATTCTGCAATATAAACAGGAGCAGTAACAGAAGCTATACCGACTCCTAAACCAATAAAAAGACGGCCAAGTATGAGAACATAAGGATCCGGAGCAGCAGCCATGACAATTGCTCCCAGAGTAAAGATAACATCTGCAATGACAGTTGCCTTCTTTCTTCCATAAGCATCATTAATCCAACCACCTGCTGCTGCCCCAACAATCGCACCCGCCAGTGCCATGCTGACAATTGTTTCCTGCAACTCAATACAATTAGACAGATCCAATGACAAACAGCCAACTGTTTTTTTCACCCATTTGAATTTCATATATAAAGTTCATTTTGTGATACATAACCACCCTAAAGTTTTATTCAGAATGAAAAGTTCATCTTCTGTGTGCTCTCGTCATGATATTTAATGGATAACACACCAATCACTAAAAGAAACCAGCTCCATCCTCTTAATTTACATTCCTCTGAAGTGTCAGTAGAAACGGTAGAACCAATAGAACAGAACAGAGAATTCACTCATGCCTTTTAGCCCTAGCTCTCAACCTAAATTACTATTTAATTCAACTTTGACATTCCCTCTTAGCGTCCTTGATCTCACTCTCCTCCTTTTAACAAGATTAAAACCATGCAATTGACTCATGTTTCCAAAAATCTTGAATTCAAGTCTAGCTTCAATGATCTCTAATGGTGACTTCCCTAAACATTTATTAGCAAAGCCAGACGAGTCTTTTCTTTTAACAGTCTATGCAGAGGGAGCAACAAAGGTGACTCCATGGTGGTTTGATTTCATGACATAAAAAATTCCAACTCTGGTCGTCATGGGTAACATTTTATTCTTGTAAATTCTTAACGCTCCTTATTCAAAATTACAATGCTTTAAATTATGCAGAAAAATAAACCAGTGCCTTGCATGCTATAGATCACAAACAAATTAGCCCACAGGCGTACAAGGAGAAGATACCAATTTCACAGATTCATTTTATATTGTTCACTGGATACATTATTGCTCTTGTAGATGGTAAGCCATATGCTTCAATGGTGCTGCAATTGAGAAGAACGGGAATGAAACAGGGTATATGAGATGACAATACCCATATGCTAGCTGCACGCAATGATGGTGGCACAAAACTAACTGCAGCCAATAATTTTTTCTTCAATCCAACTTTGGGGGATGGAGGTGTGGGGTATGCATCACATTATGAAAGCTTGGGTTTAAAATCTTTTAGTTAGTGTATTTTAATCAGACAAATATATTTATAGCAAAAAATCTGACACCCACTTCAAAAGAGCGAAATTAAAAGACAGGCATTGCCGCAGGAACCACTAATTGTTGAACCACAATAACAACTGACATTGCCCAATAGAAAAGAAAAACCAAATTCCACCAGTAGCATTCTTGATTTTGTACGAAGTCAACGGTCAAATATGAAAAGTTGGTTGAAACAGGACTGATAAAAAGATTGAATAAGGAGATAGGTATTCGCATAGTACCTGGAGAAAATTGCTATGTCTGACGGCCTCAAAATCATCTTTAATATAGAGAAGGGCCCCTGATATAACTCCTGCAATGATATAAAATGTCATTCTCCGGTGAAGAAAAAACATAATACTAAAATAAAATTAGAGTAAATTTGTCTGGAAGTAGGTACCTGTGTCGTAGCCAAAGAGTAATCCACCAATGCTAGCGACAGCAGTGAGTCCTACAATGTAAGGGTTTTTAAAGGCGGAGACTTTCCTCTCTGGGTATATGTCCAGATACCCTGAGCTTCCCGGAATGGAATGGGTTATAGTCGTGATGGTCATGTTGCCGTGCGTGTGGTGCCCAAAAAGGTCGATCGTTGATCCCCCAGATAAGGGTGAGACCAAATCACAAACACTTGGAAGTCACTCCATTCTCTGACATGGGTTTCTTAATTCCACTTCTACTTGCTTGGGAATGGAAACTTGTTTTCTGCTTAGGGACGAACAGGACAAAGTTCAAACAGTGGTTCCATTCTTGCATGTTCTTGTCTGGTGTGGTCCACTTGTCTATTATTATTATTATTTCCATCTATGTCTGCGCTGTTCTTATCATCTGACTCTGATACTATTATTTCCACTTTCAATACTAATCCATTACTTTTTAACCATTCCCTCACGCTTAACCAAACTCCAAGAGTACTTATATTTGGATTATGAATAGACTGGAGGAAGTGAAGAAAGAAAGAAAATAACAAAAAGAGAATTTGTAAGGAAACAAGTTTTTTTTTTTTGGAAAGTAAGGAGAAAGTTTATGAACTATTATGAGTAACTAAATTAACGTTGTATGTTAAAATTATCTTTTAATCTAAAATATGGTCAAATAGCTTTATTACCATCATCTTATATTTTTATTTTCATTTTATTTTTATTAATAATATTTTTATATAATTTTATTACTATTATTATTATTATTTGTTGTATTAGTATATTTTTAAACATTGTTGTTATTATATGCATTTATTTTATTGTTGTTACATTAAACATTATTTTTATATTCAACATTTAATATGGTTAATTATATGCGGTTGATTTTAGAATAAAAGAAATGGTATTGACACATTTTTATATTCATATATATATATATAGGGGTTTGCTAACGCGCGTACGCCTGTTTTTCAGTTGGTACATTTTAGCAATGTGTACCGGATTTTAGTAGACAAAAATACCCTTATATATCATGGATTCTAAGTTTTAAGGTTAAGGGTATTTTAATAATTTTCATTCTCAAAACTTAAAAAAAAAAAAAGAAACCCCCCAAACCCTTACTCACATCTCTCATTCCTCTCAATCCTTTCTCTTTCATCTCTCTCATTCCAACCTTTTCTCTATCATCCCTACTGTAGCCCCAATTGAAAAAATCAGAAACACTTGTCTTTAAACAATTTGTCTTTCTAAAGAGTTGAGTGATTGACATATTCACCTTGAGGCAAAGGTTCATTCAAGATCTCTTCAATTTCACCATCTTCACTAATTTCTCTAATTTCATCATCTGCATATGTTGAAACATCATCTCTAAACAAACCCTCCAGGCCAATTATCAATTCTTTCGGATGTCACTATGCTTGTGAAAATTAAATAAAATTAGATAAGACAAAAATTATAAAATAAAAACTTATTATAAAATCATTTTTTGTAAGAAATTGTTTAACAACAAGTATTTCTGATTTTTTTCCAAGTCAATTACCAATTCCTTTATGCTTGTGAAAATTGGATAAAATTAGATAAGACAAAAATTATAAGATCAAAACTCATTATAAAATCATTTTTTTGTAAGATTGTTTAA